GCAAAATATACATGTGTGCAAAATTTTAGCCTTCTATCTCAATTTGTTCGAAAGATAGCGTGATTACAACAGACAGACGGACATGGCTAAATCGTCTTAGAATTTTACGCTGATCAAGAATATATATACTTTGTTGGGTCTGACATGAGTATTTCGAGGAGTTACAAACGGAATGACAATATTAATATACCCTCCATAGTATGGTGGAGGGTATAAAAAAATCTAAAAGAGGACAAAAAGTCCGAAAGTAAAATATACTAAAATATATTTTATAATTTTAGTTAGGGACATAAACGTTTTCCCGCTGGCAAATCTCCATTCGGAGGAAAAATTTGGAGCTAAAACTTACAACAATGAAAGTCTATGAATATATACATAGAGGGTTGCTGAACAATACGAAATGGAGAAGCCGCAGCAAGCAAGACCACCAACAAGAGAAGAACAAGGAAAGAAATCCTATAGAAGACATATGTCACGTATCGACAGCTGAAGAATACATCAGAGTAATGGGAGAAGACGAGGATACTCGTCTGGTTCCGGTTCCTGTAGGGTCTCATCAAACAACAATCCCTGTGAGAACGAAATGAGCTTACCATGAAGTTATTAACAACCTCTTCGTACTTTGATAATGATATATATATATATATATATATATATATATATATATATATATATATATATATATATATATATATATATATATATATTGTTTCAAATTTCGCATGTGAAGTTCGTAATGGATACTTCAGCCCATGCCAAAAAATTGTCTGTGCAGGTCCACGTCTTCGTATAGCCCCCATATAACGGTACCCCCTATATTCGGTGTTTTTTGGATGATTTTAGCTACATTATAAACAGATTTGTCTTCAAGTTTCGCATTAAAGTATTGTAATAACTTATGAAAAAAGTTGCCTATGCAGGTCCACGTTGTTTTTATAAAAATATATATATATATATATATTTTTATAAAAACAACGTTTATTTATTAGTGGAGAAAGATGGTAATGTTTACCATGTTTACTTTCTTTCCGAAACCTAGGTATTCCCTGCCTTACCCCCTGGTAAACATTACCATCTTTCTCCACTAATACATTTTAATAATTTTTGTACTTACAGAATAAATGACGATGAAGGAGGTTGTGGCTATGAAACTGAGATTTACAAAATTTCAATTAAAATAGATGGAATTCCCTTTGATGTTGTGTGTGACATTTGTCAATAAATTAAGTAAAAAGGTAAATCTAATGCCCTGTAAAGATCCATATGTCGATTAGAGTGGAACAAAATAGAATTGTTCGGCGAATACATTGAGGACGTTGAAGTAAATGGTGTAAACAAAAAAGTTAAACTCATTGTGACAAACAATAATAACAATCCTTTATTTGGAAGAAATTTTTTTTTTAGAAATTTTAATTTTGAACTTGTTCAAGTAAATTCAATTGACTCTCAAGAATGTCATATTATTTTTGAATAAATTAAAAATGAATTTCATGAAGTTTTTAGTGATGGCCTTGGAGCTTACGTATTTGGTGTTATTTCTTTGTCCATGGACACAAATGCAAAACCCATTTTCTGTAAGCCACATTCAATTCCGTTTGCATGGAAAGATAAAATAGAAAATAGTTTAAGAGAGTTGCCCTCTTTGTATTCTGTTCGGTGCAATTAATTTCGGCAAAATGAATATCTAATTTCTCTTTCCATAACAACCACGATTCATTGCGGGGCGAAAACTGAGGCATGTTGTTTGGATGGTAAATAATAACGGTTCCACTTTGTGCGTTGTCTGGCATGATTGTTTTTATTAGATGTTTCTTCTTCTTTTACTAAAATTAGTTTGGGGGCATAAAACATTGTTGTTTTTGCTTATTTTTATACCCTCCACCGTACTGTGGAGGGTATATTAATTTTGTCATTCCGTTTGTAACTCCTCGAAATACTCATGTCAGACCCAACAAAGTATATATATTTTTGATCACCGTAAAATTCTAAGACGATTATCCATGTCCGTCTGTCTGTCTGTGTGTCAGTCTGTCTGTCTGTCCGTCTGTCTGTCTGTCTGTTGTAATCACGTTATCTTTCGAACAAATTGAGATAGAAGGCTAAAATTTTGCACACATGTATATTTTGCCAGTAGGCAGGTTAAGTTCGTAAATGGTCCACGTCTTCCTGTAGCCCCCATATAACGGTACCTCCCGATATTCGGTATTTTGATGATTTTAGCGACATTATTCACCGGAATTGTTTCAAAGTTGGCATTTGAAGTTCGTAATGGATACTACAGCCTAAGACATAAATAATCTGTGTAGGTGTACGTCTTCGTTTAGCCACTATAAAACAGTATCCCAAGATATCCGGCATTTTGATGATTTTAGCGACATTATTTAACGGAATCGTTCCAAATTTGGTATTTGAAGTTCGTAATAGATGCTGCAGCATAAAACAGAAAATGGGCCATGTAGGTCTACGTCTTCGTATAGCCCCATATACAGTACCCCCCGATATTCGGTATTTTGATGATTTTAGCGACATTATTCACCGGAATTGTTTCAAATTTCGCATGTGAAGTTCGTAATGGATATTTCAGCCCATGCCAGAAAATTGTCTGTGCAGGTCCAAGTCTTCGTATAGCCCCCATATACCATACCCCCCGATATTCGGTATTTTGATGATTTTAGCGACATTATTCACCGGAATTGTTTCAAATTTGGCATTTGAAGTTCGTAATAGACGCATTTGTTATACTTTAATCATATTATTCAAGAAATGTATTTAAATTGTATTATATTGAGTTATCCTGGCCAAAAATTATAAGCATGTATACACGTTTTGGAATAGGTGCAGTGTATTGTATATGATTTTTGGTATTTTTATGATTATCGCCATATTTTTCTACGGATATACAGGGTGAGATGAAAACACCTTAACCAACTTCAGACTGCGTTCGCTTGTTAGCCATTCGTCCGACAGCAGTTTAAATTATTCCAGTGACAATCATTATATCGTTTACCAACGTGAAAATGCATTTAGAATTTTTCAGAAAAAATGTTATTCGTGATGGAATTCAAGCGTGATAGTATGATTTCTTTATATTTGCCCGGAAAACCACAAGTGGCTATCGGTAGAGCACTCCAGCAATTAAGTGTGAATAAATCTTTTGTGTCTCGTACCATCGCTCATAACCGTGATATTGGTAGCGTAGCCCGACATCAAGGAAGTGGACGGAAGAAAACAGCAACATCAGCAGAAATGGTTCCAAAGGTAAAAGAGTGACTTGATTGAAACCCGAGTGGCAGTGGCCGAAAAATGGCTCGTGTACTGAATATATGGCAATATTCCACTCGGCATATATTGAAAAATGAGCTCGGGGTAAAGTCATTGAAATTCCAAAAAGTGCAAGAACATACACCGCTACAGAAAGTGCTGCGCCAGGCCGAAAGTGGTGAATTGCCGAATTTTGTTTTCTCCGATGAGAAAACATTCGTTGTCCAGCAATTTGTAAACAAACAAAATTATCGTGTTCACTTGCCAAAGACTTTAGCTAAAAATGTGCACCTTCGGTAGGCCTCCAGAACTCAAGCGCCGGCCGTGGTGATGGTGTGGGCTGATTTAACAGCCGATGGTCGCTCACCGACCGTGGTATCAGAATAAATGCCGAATATTATCGCGAAAATAATCTGGAGGGTGTATTAAAGCCTTGGGCACGCAAACATTGTGGCCGCAGACCTTGGATATTATAACCCCATCGTATTGCCCCCATATAACGACAACTCCTGATATTCGGTATTTTCATGATTTTTGCCACATTTTCAACGGATTTATCTAAAAATTGGTATTTGTTGGTCGTTATGGGTTCTAGCTCCGGTGGCGGAACATTGTATTTTTAGGTCTACGCTTTCGTATAGCCCCATATAACGGTACCTACTAATATTCGATATTTTGGTGATTTTTGTCACATTCTCCAAGGATTCGTCTAAAAATTGGTATTTATAGTTCCTAATGCGTTCGGACCGAACTTTTTTATACCCTCCACCATACTATGGAGGGTATATTAATTTTGTCATTCCGTTTGTAACTCCTCGAAATACTCATGTCACACATATAACGGTACCTCCCGATATTCGGTATTTTGATGATTTTAGCGACATTATTCACCGGAATTGTTTCAAATTTGGCATTTGAAGTTCGTAATGGATACTACAGCCTAAGACATAAATAATCTGTGTAGGTCTACGTCTTCGTTTAGCCTCTCTATAACGGTACCCCCGATATTCGGTATTTTAATGATTTTAGCGACATTATTCAACGGAATCGTTCCAAATTTGGTATTTGAAGTTCGTAATAGATACTGCAGCATAAAACAGAAAATGGCCCGTGTAGGTCCACGTCTTCGTATAGCCCCCACATACCGTACCCCCCGATATTCGGTATTTTGATGATTTTAGCGACATTACTTACCGGGATTGTTTCAAATTTCGCATGTGAAGTTCGTAATGGATACTTCAGCCCATGCCAGAAAATTGTCCGTGCAGGTCCACGTCTTCGTATAGCCCCCATATAACGGTACCCCCTATATTCGGTGTTTTTGGATGATTTTAGCTACATTATAAACAGATTTTTCTTCAAGTTTCGCATTAGAATATTGTAATAACTTATGACAAAAGTCTATGCAGGTCCACGTCGTCGTATAGGCATTCGGTATTTTTAAGATTTTAACAGAATTTTTAACGGATTTTATTTATTTATGTATTTATTTTTTTTGGAAATTGTCAAATTTGTACCAAATGGTGGAAGGCATTAAAAGTTCGGCCCGGCCGAACTTACAGCTTTTTTACTTGTTTGTTTTTTGGAAATTGTCAAATTTGTACCAAATGGTGGAGGGAACTTACAGCTTTTTTACTTGTTATACTTGTTTTTAAATCTATTTGATATTAACTTTGTATATTTATCCACTAGGAAATTTTCTGTTAGCAAATTAAATATTTGAAAATTTTATCTTTCAGAGATCACAGAATATTGGAACTGTTATATGAAGAAGCCAAACATAATGTTTTGTGTGGACGTTACGTAATGGAGCCTATTCATGCAGTTATGCTAGGGGGGATTCAGGCACGAATTGAACTTGGACCATTTAATTCTAATACGCATACAAGCGGATTTTTTAGGTAACTATTAACTTGATTTTTTTCTCTTATTTTGATTTATGTATTCTATAATATTTGTATAGAGAAGTCCAGACACGGTTTTTGCCAAGAAGTGTTGCCAAAAATGCAAGTTTATCATGGCTACCTCTCAGCCGCAAAAATTCTGCAGAGCTTAAGCTTTTGGAGCAATTTAAACGTGTTCCACAATCTGCAAATACCAAAAAATTAATAAGAAAATATCTAGAATTTTGTTGGGCTTTACCATTTTATGGGTAAGTCTTAGATAATTCATCAATCAAGATTTAATTTAGTAACATAGCCTGATTTTAGGTCAGCATACTTTCACGGGCAAGTCGAACAGTCAATGTGTGGTATTAAGAATATCTTAAACAATAAAGATGTGAACGTTTTAATAGCTGTAAACGAAAGGGGCGTTCACATAATAGACCCTGCCGAATCTGTAAGTTAGTAAAAATAGAATAATAAGATACATAATTACGTTGTATATAAATATAGAACTAACATATTTGAGAAAGTTGTTATCTGTTTTTCAGTTAGCTGGTGAATGCAACGAATTTCAAGTAGTATTATGTTGATTCCGTTTAGTAACGTAATAAAATAAATAGTAAATATGTATGATTCGATTATATGCCACATTTTAAACTTAACTTAAATCACAAAGGTCCTTTGGAAAATGCACTGAATTGTGGTGCTAATCAAACTTTGCAAATCGTAATAAGGTAAGTGCGCCTAAGGTCGGCATGTCCCAGTAGTCGGCAGTTTTGAAATTTAAACTTAAATAACAAATTGACCAAATAATGAAATAATTGCAAAAAACGTCAACAGTGTTTTCTGCTCTTTTTCTGTAAAAAAAACAATGATCTCCAATCATTTATTACGAGAGAATAACGGTTTTCGTCAGTGAGTGTCTCCCAACGCATGCGATAGTGCTTGTTTGTAAAGAAAAAAAAAAAATAGTGGTGGTGTCAACTTAATAATCGATTTAAGTAAATTAAATTTAATACTTTTGGAAGCAGAAATATTTTATTAAAGCAAATAAAAGTCTAAAGATCATTTTATAACTTAAAAATTTACAAATCAAGCATTTTTCTGTTATATTATTTAATGCCGACATTAGGAACAGAAACAAGTTAAAAAGCAGTAAGTTCGGCCGGGCCGAACTTTGAATACCCTCCACCATTTGGAACGAATTTGGAAATTTTCAAAAAATAAAATTCTTAAAAAATTCTGTTAAAATTTTAAAAATACCAAATATAGCCGTCTATTGGAGTCTATATGACGTGGACCTACATAGGCATTGTTTGTCATAAGCCATTACCATATCGTCAAAATATCCCATATAGGGTAGTACCGATATATAGCATTTTCAGATTAAATGAAACCTTTTGCAATTCAAATGAAACTTTTTGCAGCGGAAATGAAACCTTTTGCAGTGGAATTGAAACCTTTTTCAGTGGAAATGAAACCTTTTGTAGTGGAAATGAAACCTTTTGCAGCGGAAATGAAACCTTTTGCAACCGAAATGAAACCATTTGCAACCGAAATGAAACTTTTTGCAAATCAAATGAAACTTTTAAATTTATAGAAGGAAAAATAACAAAACATTTTTATTTTTAGTAGTTTTTAAATTAAATCAATTAATTATAACTAATATATTGACAAAGAGGATTTTTTATTGATTATAAATATCTACATTTATTTATATTATTTCTGAAATTTTCAATTATTGTAATAACAAATGGTTCTTTATTGATTTGATATAAAATGCTTCCATATTATTAAATCCCAAATGCTTAACGATAAAAAGAGAAATTTAAACAAATTTTGGCCTTTATAGGTATGGCCAGGACTGAAATGTGAAATTAAGCTTTACCACAATTTTTATAGTTATAGTATACTATTAATCTTACCTAATAAAGGATTCCCGCTTCGCAGCTTTATTGATCATTAAATCAACTATGATCATGATTGTATATACTTTATGGGGTCTACGACGAATATTTAGAGGTGTTACAAACCGAATGAGAAATTTATTATATCCCCCTTTCCATGGAGGAGATTATAAAAAGGTACCTAATTCGGGTCCTTTGAAAAAAATACCTTGAAAAAACTTTTTTCAATCTTTCTGCATCTACACTTGTGTTTTATGGAAGCTTTAAAAAAATTATAAAAACATAGATATTAATAATCAATAAAAATTCCTCTTTAACTATATATTAGTTATAATTAGTTGATTTAATTTTAAACCTACTAAAAATAAAAATGTTTTGTTATTTTTTCTTCTAAAATTCTAAAAGTTTCATTTGATTTGCAAAAAGTTTCATTTCGGTTGCAAAAGGTTTCATTTCGGTTGCAAAAGGTTTCATTCCCGCTGCAAAAGGTTTCATTTCCACTGCAAAAGGTTTTTTTTCCACTGCAAAAGGTTTCAATTCCACTGCAAAAGGTTTCATTCCCGCTGCAAAAAGTTTCATTTGAATTGCAAAAAGTTTCATTTAATCTGAAAATGCTATATCTAAGCTGTGCGAAGGCCTGCATAGACAATTTTCTGGCACAGGCTGTAGCATACATTACGAACTTCAAATACCACATCTCAAACAATTTCGATGGGTATTGTACCTAAAACCGATTTATGGGGCCTATACGAAGACCTGGACCTATATAGACAATTTTCTGTCACAGTTTGTAGTTCTCATAGCGAACTCCAAATACGTAATTTGAAACAACTCTGGTGAATAATGACGCTAAAATCATCAAAATACCGAATATTGGGAGGTACCCTTATATGGGGGCTATAGGAAGACGTGGACCTGCACAAACAATTTTCTGTCTTAAGGTGTAGTATTCATTTCGAACTTCAAATACCAAATTTGAAAAAAATACTGTTGAATAATGTCGCTAAAGTCATCAAAATACCATATATAGGGAGGTACCGTTATATGGGGGCTATACGAAGACGTGGACCTGCACAGAAATTTTCCTGTCTTAGGGTGTAGTATCCATTTCGAACTTGAAATACTAAAATTGAAACAATTCCGGTGAATAATATCGCTAAAATCATCAAAATACCGAATATAGGGAGGTACCTTTATATGGGGGCTATACGAAGACGTGGACCTGCACAAACAATTTTCTGTCTTAGGCTGTAGTATCCATTTCGAACTTCAAATACCAAATTTGAAACTATTCCGGTGAATAATGTCCCTAAAATCATCAAAATATCGAATATCGGGAGGTGGTATATGGGGGCTATATGAAAACGTGGACCTACATGGCCCATTTACGAACTTAACCTGCCTACTGGAAAAATAAACATGTGTGCAAAATTTGAGCCATCTATCTCAATTAAAGATAGATAAAGATAGCGTGATTACAAAAGACAGATGGACAGACAGACAGATGGACATCGCTAAATCGACTTAAAACTTTACGCTGATCAAGAATATATATACTTTATTGGGTCTGACATGAGTATTTCGAGGAGTTACAAACTGAATGACAAAATCAATATACCCTCCATAGTATGATGGAGGGTATAAACAAGTAAAAAATCATTTTAACAGAATTTTTAACGGTCGGTCTGTGTGTCTGTCTGTCCGTCTGTCTGTTGTAATCACGCTATCTAAATCAGGTATTCCTAAAATATGCATCCTGGCATACCTTGACGACATAATTATTTGTTCAGGATCATTCGAGCAGCTTATGGGTGATTTAAATATGGTACTGGAAAGGTTGATAAAGTTCCATCTAAGATTGAATAGCAGAAAGTGTAGATTTTGCTGCTCAGAGGTGAAGTTTCTTGGGCACGTTTTGACGCCGGCTGGTATCGCCTTGGATAGCGAGAAAATAAAGGCTATTGTGAACAGAAACCTAAAGCAGCTCATATCGTTTATACAAAGTTGTTCCTGGTACCGTAGATTTGTGAATAACTACGCAGAAATAGTCAGATCACTTACAAATCTTACAAAGAAATCGGCGCAATGGAGATGGACGAAGACAGAGGAAGATGCGTTCAATGAATTGAAAAGAGCGTTGATAACACCTCCTATATTAAAGCAAGCCGCAGATGACATGCCTTTTTCTATACAGACAGACGCAAGCGCGTATGCAATGGGAGCAGTTTTACTCCAGGGGGAGGGCCCTGACGAGCACCCCATCGAGTATGCCAGCAGGCTTCTTAGCAGTGCAGAGCGAAATTACTCGACAACAGAATGAGAGGCTTTCGCCATTGTCTGGGCATGCGAAAAATTCAGAGGCTATATAGAAGGGCGAGAAGTCCGACTCCTGACAGATCATCAACCACTCAAATGGCTTTTGACGCTGAAATCACCTACCGGAAGACTCGCAAGGTGGGGCCTCCAATTGCAACAATACAACTTCGCGGTAGAGTATATTCCAGGCAAATCCAATGCAGTAGCCGATATGCTATCTAGACCACCGTGTGATGTGTACGAACACACAGATGGTGATAACTGTATTTGTGCATTTCAATGTGACGTCCCAAGAAGAAGCTCTTCAGAGATACGGGAAAAGCAAATGAATGACGAGTACTTGAAGGATATAATAACGTCTATGGAGAAACAGGACGAAAATTCCTTGGGTCGGCAGAAGTTATGTTTTAAACGACGGTATATTGTATTGTTACGCCGATGATGACTCCGAAGATGCACAGTTAGTATTTCCGTCTCACGAAAGGGCGAATATTCTTAAAATACACCACGATGAGAGTACGGCAGGCCACTACGGAGCGGAGAGAACAATTGCACGTATACGTAGTAGATATTTCTGGCCAGGGATGCGGGCAGAAATCTCCAAATACGTTAGAAATTGTATCGAATGTCAACGGTTTAAGGCAAACAATTTGAAACCAGTTGGTCTCTTACAGACAACCAGTAGCAAACAGAGGTTTGAAGTTTGGGACTATTGTTTACCAGCCATACCAATTGGGACTATTGTTTACCAGCCATACGATTTGCAATGATTTCTGCGAAGTGTCAAAGCACCGGACAGACTGCAGCATATTTGACCTTCGGTAGGGAAATGCGCACATTAGATGATGTCCAGCACGATGTAAAAGCCATTGTCGAATCGGAAAATTTTATTCCGGATCTATCACCATACCTCAAAACAATAGTCAACATTTTGAAGGACGCTAAGGAAAACGAGGTTAGAATTCAAAACAAGAATAAATTCTATGTGGATCAGAACAGACGTTCTCAGCCAGGCTTTGAGATTGCCTCGGAGGTCCTAGTTGAGACGCACACACTAAGCAATGCATCGAAAGCAATCTCATCGAAGTTTGTTCCGAAGCGAGATGGACCATATATAATAACAAGAAAAGTTGGTTCAACTACATATGAGGTATCATCTCCCAATAATTTGGACATCCCTGTGGGCACTTATCATGCATCTGCCCTAACGCTATATAGAGGGACCAATCTG